CCGCGGTGATCTGAGTGGGCTCCATGATCCCAGTGCTATGGCGTCTGGGCTGAAAAAAGGCGCAAACTATTGTCTGACGGAGGGAGGGAGAGAGGGAGGGAGGGGCAAGTGACGACATGGCTTACAGGTACAGGAAATTAAAATCAACAAAGGTGGCTGTGCATCAGGGAGAAACACAAACAACTGTCACACAGAATGGCCCCCCCCAAAGATTGAACTCAAAACCCTGGGTTTAGCAGGCCATTGATTTCACGGAGAGAGGGGGAAGCAAATGAATACAGAACAAATCTGGTCCATCTATTTTTTACAACTTAAGCTGGCAGCAGACGGTGCAGCATGACTGATAGCCATGGGCATCTTCTGGGTGCTTGGCAGAAAATGATGTACTACGACTGCTAGCCATCATCGTCAAGATGGTTCAATAGGCCAGGAGACAAAACATGTCTTCCCATGTGCCTCTGACTGAACTCACTGAGGAGTATGACGACAACGGATACCAGTCGTAATACACCATCCACTGCCAAAAGGCAAGGAGCTGCTGCTGTGTAGCAATGCAGCCCCGCGTCTGCCAGCACCCAGATAGCTGATGAGGGCTATCAGTCATACTGCACTGTCTACTGCCAAAAGGCAATTAGCTGCTGCTGTGTAGCAATGCAGTACCACGTCTGCCGGCACCCAGATGACATATGGTGACGGTGAGCTGAGCTGAGCTGAGCTGAGCGGGCTCCATGCTTGCTGTGGTATGTTGTCTGCACAGGTAACCCAGGTAAAAAGGCGCGAATCGATTGTCTGCCATTGCTCTGACGGAGGGGGAGGGGCCTGACGACATACCCAGAACCCCCGCGACACTGTTTTTGCATCATCAGGCATTGGGATCTCAACCCAGAATTCCAATGGGCGGCGGAGACTGCGGGAATTGTAGGATAGCTACCCACAGTGCAACGCTCCGGAAGTCAACGCTAGCCTCGGTACTGTGGACATGGTCCACCGACTTAATGCACTTAGAGCATTTTATGTGGGGACACACACAATCGACTGTATAAAACCGATTTCTATAAAACCAGCTTCTATAAATTCGACCTAATTTAATAGTGTAGACGTACCCTGAATCATTATTAATGGACCTTGCAGGTGTCCAGAAAGCAGCAGAAAGGCTGTTATTCTCACCCAGGCTTCAGCAGTGACTCCTAGTCTTGCTTTCTTCTTTTTCTCCAAGAAATGAAGTAGCTGCTAAATTGCTCAAGGAGGGACAGATTCTGCAATGTTTATTCATGCGAAGCAGCACTCACTCCCACAGGTAATCCCACGGAAGCCAATGGAACTACTTCCACAAGTACTGTCAGTCCTACTCAACATATGGGTTGCAAAATCTGGCACGGAGGATACAATATGTCTGGTCGCTACAAGTATGCTACCCCCATCATAGCCCAAGGCTGAATAAGAAACACAAATTGTTCCTATCAACAAATGTTCCAGTAAGGAAAGAAATGGGTTTAACCAATATTTGGAACAGTTTCAGGTTGAAGGATAATGACAGTAACTTATAACTTCAAAGCACCCATGACAAACACTAAGGCCCTGATCTTCAAAACTGTGCATGCCTAAGGCTACGTTTTAGTCACAGGTATTTTTAGTAAAAGTCATGGACAGGTCACAGACAGTAAACAAAAATTCACGGCCCGTGACCTGTCCAGGACCCGACTAAATCTTGGGAGTGCCGTGGGTGCTTGTGGAGGAGGGGTGCCCGGGGGGCGGGCTGCAGGTGCCCGGGGGGGCTGCTCGGGGGGCACCGTGGATGCTGGGGGGGTGGCCCAGGGGGCGCCATAGGTGCATGGGGGGGCAGCCCGGGGAGTCCTGCGGGTGCTGTGGGGGAAGAAGCCTCAGGGGTGCTGTGGGAGCGGTGCCTGTGGACGGAGGCAGCACAGAGCTAGGAGCTGAGGGAGGGACCTGTTGCCGCTTCCAGGGAGCTCCCCCTTCCCCCCAAGTAAGCGCCACCCAGAGCCCTCACCCCCTCCCGCGTCCCAGCCCCCTCCAACTCCCAAACTCCTCCTGCTGCTGCTGGGAGACGGGGGGGCCCAAGACTTCCCCAGCAGTGGCCAGTGCAACTGGCCCAGGAGCTGCCTGAGCTCCTCGGGCAGCCCTAGAGCCAGCTGCATGGGCCGCTGCAGAAGTCACGGAGGTCATGAAAAGTCACGGAATCTGTGACTTCCGTGACCTCCACGACAAACTTGCAGCCTTATGCATACCCCTAACAGACATGAGCATTACCTGTGCACACAATGACCCCTATTCCATGCATTATGATAGAGGGTGAAATCCTGGCCTGGAGATTTGGGATTCCAAGATCTTGGGGATATAGATTAATACCAAGAGAAATGGGATACTGCCTGCTTTTCCCCCAGTTTCACTACCATAAGCTCAGGTGATTCAGTTTGCCCCATAACAGCCAGTATTTACTGCTGCAATACTTTACTCCCCTCTTCAGTGGGGCATCATTTCTCATTTATAACCTTTATGGTAAGATAGACTTTCACCTTCTCTGTTTTCTGTGTCCTATCCTCTTGATTCCCCATGGAAGGGGAAACTATACAAAACATGACCCGGCAGCTGAATTCCAACATTTCTTACAACGCATACAGAGACACAATTCTCAGGCCTGGTCTATACTTAACAGTTAGGTTCACATACCTGTGGTGCTCAGGGGTGTGAAAAATTCACATTGCTATGCCAACCTAACCGACAGTGTAGACATGTCTAGGATGACGGAAACATTCTTCCATTGACCTAGCTACTGCCACTGGGAGAGGTAGATTACCTAAAGCAATGAAAAAAACTAGGGCTGTCGATTAATCGCAGTTAACTCACGCAATGAACTCCAAAAAATTCATTGCGATAAAAAAAATTCAATGCGATTAAGCGCAGTTTTAATCGCACTGTTAAACAAAAGAATACCAATTGAAAGGTATTAAATATTTTGGATGTTTTTCTACATTTTCAAATATATTGATTTCAATTACAACATAGAATACAAAGTGTACAGTGCTCACTTTATATTATTTTTATTACAAATATTTGCACTGTAAAAATGATAAACAAAAGAAATATTTTTCAATTCACCTCATAGACGTACCGTAGTGCAATCTCTTTATCATGAAAATGCAACTTACAAATGTAGATTTTTTTTGTTACATAACTGCACTCAGAAACAAAACAATGTAAAACTTTAGCGCCTACAAGTACATTCAGTCGTACTTCTTGTTCAGCCAATCGCTAAGGGTACGTCTTCACTACCCGCCGTATGGGCGGGTAGCAATCGATTTATCCAGGATTGATATATTGCGTCTCGTTAAGACGCGATATATCGATCCCCGAACGTGCTCACCGTCGACTCCAGAACTCCACCAGAGCGAGCAGCAGTAGCGCAGTCAACGGGGGAGCCGCGGCCGTCGATCCCGCGCCGTGTGGACCCCAGGTAATTCGATCCAAGATACTTCGACTTCAGCTACGCTATTCGCGTAGCTGAAGTTGCGTATCTTGGATCGATCACCCCCCGTACCCCCCCAGTGTAGACCAGCCCTAAGAGAAACAAGTTTGTTTACGTTTATGGGAGATAATGCTGCCCGCTTCTTATTTACAACGTCACCTGACAGTGAGAACAAGCATTTGCATGGCACTTTTGTAGCTGGCATTGCAAGGTATTGACATGCCAGATATGCTAAACATTCGTATGCCCCTTCATGCTTTGGCCACCATTCCAGAGGACATGCTTCCATACTGATGACACTTCTTAAAAAAATAATGCATTAGTTAAATTTGTGCCTGAACTCCTTGGGGGAGAATTGTATGTCTCCTGCTCTGTGTTTTATCTGCATTATGCCACATATTTCAAGTTATAGCAGTCTCGGATGATGACCCAGCATGTTGTTCGTTTTAAGAACACTTTCACTGCAGATTTGACAAAACACAAAGAAATGTAAGATTTCTACAGATAGCTACAGCACTTGACTCAAGATTTAAGAATTTGAAGTGCCTTCCAAAATCTGATCGGGATGAGGCATGTTTTCAGAAGTCTTAAAAGAGCAACACTCCGATGCGGAAACTACAGAACCCGAACCACCAAAAAAGAAAATCAACCTTCTGCTCGTGGCATCTGACTCAGATGATTAAAATGAACATGTTTTGGTCCGCACTGCTTTGGATCGTTATTGAGCAGAACCCTTCATCAGCATGAACGCATGTCCTCTGGAATGGTGGGTGAAGGGACATATGAATCTTTAGCGCATCTGGCATGTAAATATCTTGCAAGGCCGGCTACAACAGTGCCATGAGAACGTCTGTTCTCACTTTCAGGTGCCATTGTAAACAAGAGGCGGGCAGCATTATCTCCTGCAAATGTAAACAAACTTGTTTGTCTGAGTGACTGGCTGAAAAAGAAGTAGGACTGAGTGGATTTGTAGGCTCTAGTTTTACATCGTTTCATTTTTGAATGCAGTTATTTTTTGTACATAATTCTACATTTGTAAAGTCAACGTTCATGATAAAGAGATTGCACTACAGGATTTGTATTAAGTGAATTGAAAAATACTATTTCTTTTATTTTTACAGTGAAAATATTTATAATAAAAATAAATATAAAGTCAGCACTGTACACTTTGTATTCTGTGTTGTAATGGAAATCAATATATTTGAAAAGGTGGAAAACATCCACAAATATTTATATAAATAGTACTCTATTATTGTTTAACAGCATGATTAATCGCGATTAATTTTTTTTAATTGTGCGATTAATCACAATTAATTGTTTTAATCACTTGACAGCCCTAAAAAAACCCTTCCGTCACTGTAGGAAAGGTCTACACTACAGCGGCATAGCGGCACCACTGCTCCAGTGTCACTTGTAGCACCTGCAATGTAGATATGGCCTCAGAGTAGTCCTGTAATAAGTATAAGAGTGTTCTTTGAAATTATGTGATTCTTTTATCTTTGTGTTTGCCCTGTACCTCAGTCTCTCTGGGTCGTCTTGTCTCACTTCAGTATCATTCATTTCAGGCTGAGGCATCTCGGGATTGATGGAAATATTAATTTTCTTTTTTCTCTTTCCGGACATTTTGATTCCAAACCCTATAAAAAGAGATGACTCCATTTGTACAATCCTCTCTTTTCACAATCTCTGCAAACTTCCATGTTCAGCACAAAGACGTTGTTCCTATGACCCGATTAAACAGGGATTTTTTTTTAGTCCAGTCTTGTCAATTAGACTCTTCATCCAAAACTGTCCTTTAAAAAGGACTCTTGAAATCTGTTATACCAGCCCTCTGGAAAATGTGCAAGGATGGAAATAAAATTATTCCAAAATTTCTCTGTCTCATCACAAATCAAGGACAATATTTAAGACTTCTATCTGAAATATACCAACTGTTTTCTGTACAATAGATGAAAACTTGGAATCTTACTAGGGAAAAAGACAAAATGTTGACCTTTTCATTTTTATGTGAATCTTTTTTCTGGTGTTGGTTTTTGCCCTTCAGTTGTGCATTGCATTGTTGGAAAGATTTAATGTACCTGAGACTTTCTAAAACTGGCAAAGTATGGGTGTCATATTTGCATACACATGTGCAGATATTCCTTCTGCTCTTTGGTCTGTGTATGTCCTTTCTACTCAGCTAACTAACAAATCAGGTTCATTTGGATTTTCACAACTTCAGCATACTGGAGTTCACAAAAAACTGTTGTTACTTTTTATCTACCTATGTTTTTTGTATGGCTCCTATTACCATGGTATCTAAGCAATGAGTAAATAATCCAAGTGTGTATTCTTAGCCCAACATTTTGTACTTTAAAAAAAACTTTTGATGACATTTTCCTTGAACAAAATAGATAATACAAGATTTAACAAAGTGTTGCAAATTTGGCTGTTTTAGCAGGTTTGATTTTGATCAAAATAAAAGTGTGGAAATGAACACAGTCAAAACAATATCAAACCAGCCTGAAACCAGCTTGAGCAGACGGCTCCATGGAGAACACTGTGATCATAAGAATGTAAAAGTAATGAAAAAAGTGACATTGACTGGGGAGTTAGTCATGAACTGCAAAATCTCTTCCTTTATTCTCTCTCTTTTTGATATATATACATTTTTAAAGGGAAATCTTGAAAGATTCAAATGTAGATTTTTAGTTGGCAAGTGCAATGACTGATTTCACCCCTCAAAAGATGATAAAAAACAAGTGTTCATGGGAAATAATCACACACACTTTTTATAATCCCAGTTCAAGCTATACATTTCCATTATTATTTTTCCCAGTAAAACAAAGAGTGGCATACCGAATCCCAACCCTCTGCACAAAAAAGGGTCAGCTGGGTGATCCATTTCACGGAGTAGACTCAACTTCCCCACTCACTCTTTTAACAAGCCGGGCCAGATTAAACCAGAATCAAAGGTGGAGGTTGGGGGACGTGACAGGCTAGGACCCATGTTTCAAAAGCTCCCCACATTTTGCTAATCTGATCCCACAAATATATGAACCTATTTGGGGCCATATATTTTGCATGGATCCAAGCCGAGTTTACTCTAAAACTTTGGCTGTATTCAATTGTAAGAGTGGTACAATCGGAGAGGCTCAAAATCAATGAAAAGTCAATCTCTGACAAATTGGCCAAATATGGACCTAAACTTAAAGCTACATTTCAAAGAGAGGATGAGAGCCACCAGTCTTTCACACTGAATCAGAAGCCGTCAATTTTTAAACCACTAGGGAGAAATTTTGCAATTCATGGCTAAATCATCATGCGCCAGTGTTCATTAAGATGTATTGAAAACGTCTTATGATCACAGTATTCCCTATATTGTTCTTCTAGTCAGGCTTTTTTTCAGATTAGTCTGGTTTTGGCTACATTAGTTACCACCCTTCAACTTTAATACTGACCACACTAAAAACAGGATGGAATTTTCAAGAACGTTGATGAGAATTAGGCCCTGACTCCTACTGAAAGCGGCTTAGTGTTTTTCAAAATCCCACCCCATACCTTTGATTCATTCCTGGTCCATTTGCCAGTATGTCTTTGGTTGGAAGGGAAACAGAGTGAGTTTCAAAAATATCATTCTGCTTAAGTAATCAAAAACTGTGGGAACAACCCAAATCACCATTTCCCACGGTGTACCGATACTCATGTTTCTTTCAAACCTACTCAAAGCTTTGTATGAGCAGAGATTGATAAACATAGCTATAAACCCTGATACAAGAAAAGTAAAATATTTATCAATGATATAAAAGCTCTCTCTATATATAGTACAGGAGTTTTGATGTTGTTTTATTTCTAACCTGCACAATTAAAGGCAGGGCAAACAAGGTTTAATTAAGCAAAGAGAAAAACATGAATTCCCAAATAAAATGTAAAACATTTTAAAATTTCTAAACAAGCAAGACAAGGACAAAAGAAGTCTGCTTTCAGTTATACCAGTGTAAGTCTGGAGTAACTCCGGTTAAATCAGTGCAGTTACTCTGGAGTTATACTTGTTTACTCAAGATCAAAATCTGGCCCAAAGAGTGATTTTAACCTAGAAGCATTATCTCTGGTCTATTGAGTTATAGCACTAAAGTGAATGTGGCATTTGAATTCAAATCCAATATCCTGCCTCTGCATGAAAACAATTTAATAATTAAATTGTTGGCATTCAGAGATCATTAAGATCTACTTAAACCTAATTAGCACAGATATTAATTTGTCTGGATTTTCACTGTCCCTTATTAAGCAAAATGACCCTTGTTTCCACTCCAAAGAAAAAAAGGAATACCTAACCACACAGATCCAATTCATACTCACTGTGGTCTTCCTACAGTTTGTGGATAGGGCCAGATTCACCCCCTGGGCATAATGGAGTGCAATTTGCAGCTCCCCTGTGCTGTCAGAGTGGCTGCACTGACGAAAAGATTCAAACCTCAAATACAGGCAGTTGTGCTCTCCCCTAGGGTTCTGATAAGGAAGGAAAGAGAAGCAAGGATGGTTTGTATCACTATGCCCCTTCTCCAGGCTGACTTCCTGCTGTCAGCGACCCACTACCTGGGTCGCATCCGTGTGAACCTGTCCCAGTGCCTCTGGTTAGATCCAGTCGGCAAAGGCTTAGCTGAAAAGATGAGCCTAGCACAACATGCTGAAGGTTAACAAATTCAAGATCTGACACCTGCCTGAATGAGAAAGTTCCACAGACAGGGACCTTCCAACCAAGAACTGCCTGCATCAAGATCTTAGACCAGGGGTAGGCAACCTATGGCACGCATGCCGAAGGCAGCACGCGAGCTGATTTTCAGTGGCACTCACACTGCCCGGGTCCTAGCCACCGGTCCGGGGGGCTCTGCATTTTAATTTAATTTTAAATGAAGCTTCTTAAACATTTTAAAAACTTTATTTACTTTACATACAACAATAGTTTAGTTATATATTATAGACTTATAGAAAGAGACCTTCTAAAAATGTTAAAATGTATGACTGGCACGCGAAACCTTAAATTAGAGTGAATAAATGAAGACTTGGCACACCACTTCCGAAAGGTTGCCGACCCCTGTCTTAGACAGTCAGCAAAAACACTCCAGCTGATTTCAGCCATCACAAAGGAGATGGGCACACTCTAAAACAGACAAATGCCAAATCACACCCAGATCCTCAAAGGTATCGAGACACTTCACCCCCATGGGAGTGAGGCGCCTAAATACCTTTGAGATTCTAGGTCAGAGGCTTTTACATTAAATTAAAAATAACTTGCATGAGGGAAGCCAGTACAGTTTATGGGATGGAGGTATGGTCTCATGCCAACCAGCTCCACTGAAGAGACCTGCCATCAAATTAGACAGAGCAGTCTAAAGCTTCTGAATGATATGGTTTTAGTTTTAATTTAAATTCACTAGGGATGAAAATCTGGTCCCATTAAAGTCAATGAGAATTTTGCCAGAATTTCTCCCTAGATTTTAAAAATCTAAACAAACTGTAACTTCTTTGGGGCAGGGACTGTCTTCCTACGTGTCTGTACAGCACGATGAACTCTTCGGTGCAACATGTCATTCCCAGGTCCTTTCTTCACAACTTTGTAGTGGAGCGAGAGGTTCCCAAGAGGCCGGGCTTTTACGTGACTGTCCTGATTTCACCGGAGTGGTCCTGCATGCAGGGCTGTTGGAGGTTAGCCTGAACACTACCTCCTGCCAGTGCAATGTTATTACGCCACGGCAAGGGGGTGGCGTTGTCTCATGTGGGCATTTCATGACATCACTACTCAACCTGTCCCAGACCAAGGCTGGATTCAACCCAAATGCAAACTGCCCGTCTGGACCGGGGGGGCAGGGGGAAGGGATGTGGGCATTGGGAAGAGCCAGGGGCCTGGTATCCCCAGAGGGCGGCTGGTGTCCCCAGGGGCCAGCCTGGGTGCAATGGGAGGGGCAGAGCTGGTGATGGGGGGGGGAGCAGGAAGCAGTGGGTCCATTTGGTTTAGAATTAAAGCTGGTATACACTGTGTCTTTGCAGCACACCACTGAATATTGGGGGCCCCCCAGGCACACCACTGAATATTGGGGGCCCCCCAGGCACATCACTGAGTATTGGGGGGGCCCCCAGGCACACGACTGAGTATTGGGGGGCCCCCAGGCACACGACTGAGTATTGGGGGGCCCCTAAGCACACCACTGAGTATTGGGGGGGTTCCCCCGTCCGAGGGGAGCTCCCCCTCCTAGCCCCCTACTGACGGCAGGGGGCCTCACCCTCACATGCTCCGCCTCCCGTTGGCCCCCGGCCCCGCGCTTCGACGCCGCGGCGCTGTCGGTTACCGGCCGCCCCCGCTAGAGTCATGAGGCAGCACGCGCCCCGCCAGCCCCGCTCGCGCCGCCCGCAACGATCCATCGGGCAGGGCGGGGGTGCAGCACCCGCGGGGCAGGAGACCCCCCCCCCCATCGGGCGGGGTCGGGAAGCAGCGCCCCTCCCCCATCGGGCGGGGCCGGGGTGCAACACCGTTGGCCTCGCAAGTTGCAACTCCCAGCGGCGCGGGGACCCATCGCGGCTCTTCGCAGCGTGTGACTGATGGCACGTGCGCGCGCGCGCACAGCCTCTCCCCTCGATTGCTCTCGCCTGGCGCTGCGGCCGGCCTCCGGGGTGGGGAGAAAGGGACGCATGCGCGTTGTCCGTCCCCTGGCCTAGCGGCTGCTTCTGCCTGGCAGCGGCTGAGCGGGAGTTGGAGCGCGCCGCCGCCCCGCCATGGCCGAAGCCTATTTCCCAGTGGGGCCCGGGCTGGGGCCCGAGGAGAATTTCCTCTCGCTGGAAGACATCCTGATGTCCCAGGAGAAGCTACCGGGGCGCGTGGAGGCTGCCCTGCCCCGCCTGGCTGCCGTGCTGGGCAAGGGCGCGGGGGCCGGCCAGAGCGACGGCATCCCGGAGGTAACCCGCCGCCGGGGACTACAGCTCCCGGCAGCCACCGGGCCTGGCCACGTGACAGACCGGCGGGTGGGCGAGAGAGCGGGGCGGGCCGGGCGCTGACGTGGGCCGGCCGGGCGGGAGCCGCGCGTTGTATCTGCCCGCCGGGGCTCGGGCATGAGGAGACGCGGGGTCTCTGGCCGAGGGCTGAGCTCAGGGGTGGAGCGGGGCATGCTGGGAAGTGCAGTCTCCGCCGTGAGCTCGGCGTTGGGCGGGGTTACTGGAGGTCTCTGCTCGAAGGCGGGATTGCACCCGGGGGGGGGGGGCAGGTTTGGCCTGGGGTGCAATACATCGCAGTAGGCTCTATGCCCGTTTGCATTAAAGACTAGAGGGGCTGCACACTGCTCTGTGTGGGCCCATTTTACCCCACCCCATAGTCTGATCTGAGATCTATGGGCTGTTTAGTGAAATTAAAGGGTAATGTCGCTTCAAACCAGTATCAGAAAGTACTTATTTATATAGCATATCCTCAGCCTGTAGAATGCAATTACTGTGGCTGGGGTATCTTTTTAAGGGCCTATCAATGTTTTATGCCCATTAAATATTGCAGTGAAGTGAGAATTTTTGGTAGAGAATGTAGTTACTGTTGGTTAGCTGTTTAGTTTAAATTCTGGTTATTGTCTAGGGACCGTGCCCTGCAAATAAATTGTATGTGTAAAATTACTTCCCGGAGTAATCCTATTGCGGGGAATCACATGAGCAAAGTTGCACATACACCTCTACCCCGATATAATGCTGTCCTCGGGAGCCAAAAAATCTTACCGCATTATAGGTGAAAGCACGTTATATTGAACTTGCTTTGAACCGCCGGAGTGCACAGCGCCCCCCCCCCCCCCCCCGGAGTAGTGCTTTACCGTGTTATATCCAAATTCGTGTTATATCGGGGTAGAGGTGTATGTGAAAAGTATCAGGGGCTAGCCGTGTTAGTCTGTATCCACAAAAACAACAAGGAGTCCGGTGGCACCTCAAAGACTAACCGATTTATTTGGGCATAAGCTTTCGTGGGTAAAAGCTTTCGTTTTACCCACGAAAGCTTATGCCCAAATAAATTTGTTAGTCTTTGAGGTGCCACCGGACATATGTGAAAGTGTCTGCTGGATCAGGGACTCTCCTTGTAAATTTCCTTACACTGCAATATTGTTTTTTATTTATATTATACATGTTACACATGCAGCTGTCTTTCTGTGCCTCATACTTTGGCACTCATTCTAACATAAATTTCATACCTACGGACTTTGCCAGTGACAACCAAAAATCTATGATTTACGTTAGTTTCCACTATTGTAGACTGAAATAAAATCACTCCCTTGTGAAACTTCAGTATTCATCTGAGTCTCATGTTTATTTGTTATCCTGATTGAAGTTCATTTACCTATTTTGGGGGGGGGGGGTTTCTGTTGTGTGAATGCAGGGTTCAAAGGTGGAAATACCCCTGTGGCTAGCAAAAGGGTTGTATGACAACAAACGGAGGACACTTTCAGTGGAACTGCCCAAGATTTACAAGGAAGGCTGGCGGACAGTGTTCAGTGCTGATGCCAATGTGGTTGACCTGCATAAAATGGGGCCATACTACTATGGCTTTGGCTCCCAGCTCCTGAATTTTGACAATCCAGAGAATCCAGAGATAGCTCAGACTATACTGCAGGCAAGTATTTGAACCAAGTCTAGTTCCTTTGGTAGATTTGGTTTCCTTTTTCTTTGCTGCTGCCTCCTCCATATTTCCTGCAACTTTGCTGTAAACAACATGTAAAAACATGATTTTAGCCTGAGTAAGGACTGCAAGATCAGGCCCTCTGGCCTCAGATGTGCATATTCAGATACCAGAAAATTCAGTAAGATTCACACGTATTCATCCAGGAGCCGAATTTGGTCCTGTGAGTTTTGTACAAGGAACATGGTGTCACCTAGAAGAGGAACCACTTTGATGCATCACTTCTTAATAACCGAGTATGCAAAGCATCTGTCAGAGATTGTACCTCTGGAGCATCCCGTTGGGGTGAGAGTGTGCGCCTCTTGGGTCCCAGATATCCTTCCCTGGCTGTACGCATCACGATTTTGCTGGTTCGGAGTGCAGCGTTTAGTCCTCTCGTTGTATATCTGAGGGATGCTGCTCCCCCACCTACATGCTCACTTCTTGGTATAACTGCATCCAAAACAAAAAAGGCAAACAATAATCCTGCAGTACAGGCTCACCCCATTGTTCTCTGCAAGGCAAAAGTTAAATAGTCTCTGTGAAGAGAGTGGGGGGAGTCTAGGGTCTTAATTGTCTGTGTGGCTGAGTGCCTGGGACTGTAATAGAAAGAAAACAAGGTAAAGATGGTCCTTTTACCGTACCAGAGGGTCAAGGTGGCAGAGATGCATAAGCAGCCCCTGTGCTGTGAGACTTGGGGGCTCTGCTTTCCTCTGAGTGCCACATTGCCCTGAGCAGGGATACTCGCCTGTAAGGACCTGCTCATCTCCAGGCTTGACAGGCTCCGCTGGTGTGCTGGGCTGGGTGCTGACTGTGCCTAGAAGAGCTCTTTAACCCCTTCCTGACTGGAGTGAGGATCTGCCCCACCACAGTGTCCCTCCTCCCTTTTAATGAGTTGGGTTTTGTAGATCATGGCATAAATAAACTAACGTTCAAAGAAGTGTAAATGAAATGTGTGACTAAATTTCAGAGCGCTCACTGAGAGTTTGAAAGTCTCTATTTGGTGCTTGTAGAGCACCCAAATACCAAAGTTTTAGATGCCAAATAAATGCATATACTAGAAATAATAAATAAAACCCAGTCATATTTTGAGACTGGTGCTTCTAAAAGCATGGTTTCCCAAGTAATCTTAAACCCAATTTCCAAAGATTATCAAGAGTTTAACCCTTTTTCCTTTCTTTGTAACTTATTACATCCTTTTTTTTTAACCCCGGTGGTAGGGAAAAAATCTTTTAAATGATCCCCTCTTTGTTTAGCTTTTTAAATGTATTGTTTATGTATTGTATGTTTTTGAATTGTACTGAATGTGAAAGTGTTTGAGCAGAATCCCAAGTGCTTCGGAGGCAGAGGGAGGTTTGTGTTTGGTAAATGCAATCAGGAGTAATAATATTGCCTTTAAAAAGGAGTCTCGTTTGGCTCAATTTTGAGAAGAACAACATTAAGCAGCATTGTAACAAATGCATGACCACAGATGAATGGGCTGCAGCCGAGCAAGGCCCCCTGCTCCAAAACCAATGACTTCTCCCACTTGAATGGAGGTGGAATTATAGTTGTATTATGTTTTAGTAGGTTTCAGAGTAGCAGCGTGCCAGCCACTAGAAGGCAACAATCATGCTTGACCAAAACTAATTCCACCCAGTGATGCACATACTTTCTAGCCAGGATTTTGTATACTCATCCATCCACCCCAGTTAGGTTAAGCTTATCCTTGAGTACGTCGAGCTCAGTACCAGCAGTCAGGTGCTAGCCCAGAACAAATCCTTGGCTGCGTACATACAGACAGCATAGGGACTAGAACCCTGGATCTTTCAGCTCCGTAAGCAAAGGCCTCTAGCACCTGAGTTCAAGAAGAATCTTCCTTAGCCATTGGTAATTCTGCTTCTCTCCCTTAGACATTTATTGGCCGTTTCCGTCGCATCATGGACTCCTCCCAGAATGCCTACAACGAGGACACCTCTGCACTGGTGGCACAGCTGGATGAGCTGGAACGAGCGTTGTTTCGAGCTGGCCAGAAAGGGCTGAATGACTTTCAGTGCTGGGAGAAGGGGCAGGCTTCTCAGATCACAGCGTCCAGCCTGGTGCAGAATTACAGGAAGAGAAAATTCACAGACATGGATGGTTGAAAGCTAGAAGGACGCAAAACTGCTACAGGGGACACTGAGGTACTCTGTGTCAGAGAGAAGAGAGACCAGCCAACCTTGGGAAGGGACAGACTCTCCTCCCAGTTTAACTGAAGTTCTTCTGCACAGCATCTTCAGATTAGACCAAAGCACGTTTTAGACTAGAGGACGAGTATAACAGGAATACATCACACAATTGTTTTACAGCACACACATCCTTCTCCCATGGAGTTACGGTAATAGTTTTGGCTTCATAGCTGAGTGGATATAAAAGGCTCTTCTGAAAGAGGATCATTTAATATTTACTGTTTTTATCATGTAAATAGATCTGGAATTGTAAATAGGGATTCTGAAAATGTAGTTTCAGCTCTTTCATCCCCACCTCAAATCCCACCTTCCCCACACATACCCCAATGTGTTGACATGGGAACAGCTGATTCCAGAGGACATCACAGTAACATGAGGAGAAGAGTGGTATAGACTGCATTGTGTTATCCCCTTCTCTCTTGCTATGGCTTAATGTGCCTTTGTTAGGGGTAAGCATCTGCTGTTAGCTGATTCTGTTGCTGCTTTAGTTTCGTATGTGATTTTAATGCTTGTCATAGAAGGCAGTCTCCACTGTACCAGTTTGTCCACACAGCAGTTGAAGTGGCGCTGCAAGCTTTATGCACCCTGCCTCCACCTCCCACTGCCACTACTATACCCAGAAAGCCCACTTCTGGGCAGCAGGTGGGAATGGAATGCCCATTCACTCCTAGATGCATGGTGGTTTTTGTGATATGGACACCGGTTCGCGGAAGAAATTATCCTGATTGCTAGTTTTGGCTAATGGTGAAGGGGCAGAGCTAATGAGTTGTTTCTTTCCTTCTGATCTATTGGCATTTCCAGAGAGGAAACAACATTCTTGCCATTGGGAGCGAATGGAATTAGAACTCATTAAACAGCACAAGGGTTGCTATATGGAGATGTCCTCAAAACCTAGCTCTGCTTGTGAGTCACATTGGAGGGCAGGAGAACACCCAGAAACACATGGTTCCCTCTCTAGAAAGCTACTCATGGGACCATTGGAATTGGTATTCTTGGGACAAGTCATTAGAAACTACCTGGGTGTTTCTTAGCCTTCCTTGGGAGGAAGCCCTTTAAAAAGTAACTAACAAGAGGGGCCTTCTCCTGAGAGGTACTGAGCATTCACAGTCCCTGTTGACTTCATCAGTAGCTGTGGATGTTAATCAGACTTTCAGCATCTCTTGGGATCAGGCCCATGGAGAGCTAAATTTTGTATGGGCAACTTGTTCTTGTCCACGAATACTTAATGTAAGTGTTGGCTAAGGGATCCCCCAGAATGGGCAAGTGACCACTCTTTGGGCCTCAGGAGTGAAAGCTCTGCCTCTGCAGTTAGTCAAAAAGGACACTGACTGCTGGATACGGCAGCATCTTCAACTTGCCATGGTCTCTGAAGTGCACAGGGCAACCTGTCCCACTGCAGGAGACGAAGTAGTGGCTAGTGGAATAGGAAGAGGGAGTTCAAGCATGCACATTATTAAATGCCACTGTGCTAAATGACAGCATGCTATGAAAATGATGCATTTTTTTAATGAGAAACTAATTTTAGCCTGGATTTGTATATTTTCTATTTTGGGATTTCTGTGCTGCATAAATGAGCGTTTCATGTGAAATAAGTTCTTCACACAGAGTGTCTCTCTGTAATTGCCCTGCTGCTGAGAATCAGTCATGGCCAGGAGAAGAATGGCCACTCGGAAACCTTAGCCACAGGGTTAGCGAAGTCTTGTTGCTAGAACCCACCATGTTCTTCGCACTGCTCCCCAACATAGGAGTGTTACGTTTATACACTTCCGCTGGCATAGCAACATCTTCTGTTTGACTCCCAGCTCCCCTAGCATTTGCCACGAGTCACATTAGAGACACTGCTAGCATAGGCGCCGACTTCTGCTCCCGCCGATGGGTGCTCAACCCCTCTCTGCCCCTGGCCCCGCCCCGACTCCACCCCTTCCACGAGGCCCCGCCTCTATTCCAATCCTTTCCCCAAAGTCCCCACCCAACTCCGCCCCCTCCCTGCCCCTATTCCGACTCCTTCCCCAAATCCCCGGCCCCACCTCTTCCCCTGAGCGCGCCGCGTTCCCACTCTTCCCCTCCCCCCCCTTCCCGGAGCGGCCAAACAGCTGTTTGGCAGTGGCTGGGTGGGAAGTGCTGGGAGGTAGGCAGAGGAGCAGGGACCCACTAATTTTTCCCTGTGGGTGCTCCAGCCCCAGAGCACCCATGTAGTCGACGCCTATGACTCCTAGGTTGATAGAAGGCTCCAACCTTTGATTTTGTTTTTTTTTAAAAAGTATAAAACCCGAGTGACAGAAATGTGTCAGTATTTATGCTTAGATTTTGGAGTTTTTGTTTTTAATTCTGGGGAAAACAGTTTTCAAAAATATCAAATAATTTGATTTTGAAAACATTCTCTTGCAGCTTGTGCAGCCCAAACATTGAAGCATTGTGGTAATACTCAAGAACCGGAAAGTGAAATTGACAGATGATAATACTGTACAGCAGTCATGGTATATAGTGCTTATGTTCAAACACATTCCAAATATTAGCTAATGAATTCTCACAATCCCAGAGGGCGAAACTGAGGCACAGACCTACGTGACACACCAAAGGTCACACATCAACATGATGGCAGAGCCAGAAATAGAATCCGTGTCCTGACTCCGACTCAGTGCTCTAACTACTAGAATGCAGGCGCTCCAAAATGAGAGCAAAACAAACACAATCTGTTTTCATTGTCCAAGCTTAGTGAAGTGAAAACTGAGACCAATCAACATATATGATTTAAAAGTCATTTAGGTTTTAAAAACCCAGTTTTAAAGGGGAGGAGCATTGACGTGAAATCTAGTCTGATTGCCAAACAACACGCGTTCCCTAAATTCTTTTACCAATTTTCATGGCATGTTTTTAAAAAAAATTGTTTTCTCTCAAGCAGCAAAGACATTGAAATGATTCTGCACAAAATGCTGTCAAACGCACAAAGCGAACAACTTAAAAAATAGAGAATTTTTTTCTCTAACCTCTTTCAGTAATCTTAGGTGTACCTGTGACAATAGTAGGTGCAAAATTTTCACATAAATGTGGTGGTTGGTTGTTTTTTTCCGTAGATAAATGTTCCTTTGATACTTTCAGGTGTTGTTAATAAAAATAGATAGGACTTTTTAAAAGAAAACGTATTTAACCTGACAATGTCCTCTTAAATTGCAGCCATCAGTTAGCAGATTTTATGAGCTATTGATTTTCTTGCTGTCTTGTACGCCCTATTCTATCCAGAAATACTTCAGGGCTGTTCCAGAGACTAGATGCCATTGAGAAACCTTGTAAGGTATCTGGCTAAGCCTACTGCGTAATTTTGATAAACACAAACTGTACTTCGTAATCACACAGCAGCAAACTAAAGTGAGAAGAGTTTGGATTTGCATACTTGTAAAACAGAAACAGTCCCTGGCATTTGACTAACAAAGTTAAAGAGCATGTATTTAACAAACCAGCAAAGTGGAAGGTCGCTCTAGAGTACTGGCAGCGAATCCCTGTCAGAAGTAATGAGTTGGAAAACTCCTACTGAGTCACATTTGCACTTAGATTCTCTTTAAACTTTTTATTTATTGCTTCTCAGATACTTTTCTTTACAGCAGAGGCAGCCACTGAGGCATGATGCCCAATTAAATATAAATAGCTTTTCACCCAACATGCAAAACCACCCATCCCAGTTCTTTCCTCCTTTTTTACTTCTGTTGCTGCTTCTTCGCCAGCTGCTTTGTGCTCTAATCAATGTTTCAGTCTGTCCTCTGGGCTTGGGTTATTTTTGGTTGGCAAAGAGAAGACATTGATTGCCCCTGCCAGACTGGAAGTAGTGGGTGTAGTCGTTCTGAATTCAGTATTGGACATCAATCTCCATAGCAGAGAGGTCAAGCTAGATCAAGAAATAGCAATCAGGAAAAGATAAAGCAAAAAGTGGCACCAGACCTTTTAGCACATCCTTTGGCGGGAAGGAATCTATTTAACAGGCGGACAGTTTAGGGTGGGATTTTTGAAAGTACCAAAGTGAGTTTGGAGCACAAATCCTATTGCAAATCAATGAGGTGTGTGCTTGTAAGTCTTTTGAAAATCCCATCACTGTCCTGGCAAGGGGGGTTCTGAGCCGACACCTACAGATTAGCCAGTGGCCGAGCCCTACTGCGTCAATTTGAGCAGTGAGGTGTGACCCAGGGACTTCTTGGTGCCAACCAGCAGAGAGCACAAGGGATGCATAGGGTTGCACAGGGATCCCCTGGGTCAGATAGAGGCATATTAGTTCACCAGAGGGTGACATGTAAGGTCTCTACTGAGAGGCAGTGGCCTACAGGTCTCCATAATCACTTCAAAATGTAAGGAGTTACTTATCCATACTGGAAATTGTGTTCTTAAAATCTGAAAGTTAAGACAGGTAACCAGGAGATGACATGCTGTGGACACGGTGTTTTTAGGCAGGGCATCTCGCCGGACACTTGTATGGTTATTGTGTGCCTCACAATGGATGCTGATTTACAGACAAAGTCAAATACTGATCAAGATTGTGAAATCTACAAGAAAGGAATATACAGGAAAAAATAACCAGCAGGGGGGCATCTGGTTTATGAATAAGGACAGTCAATAATTCTGATATATCTGTGGGTGCAAACAGACGCCCTAGATCTTTCACTGAGGAGGCACGCTGACGGGGCAATCAAGGCAAGATCACAGCCAAACCTGGCTGTAAAACGGTGCAAGGACTTTGGGTGAGCATTGCTCTCTAAGACATGAAAGTGTCCAGGTTCTAGAACATGATTTTATTTTATATGTAACCATATGTTTTTAGTACTTCTGCTTCCTATCACATGAATTTCTACACTGCGTTCAATAAACTTTTACTTGTTTTCACTGTAAGTGTTGTGTGTCAAGCAGAGTAGTGATCTGAAGTGGAACTGTTAAGTTGCCATGTATTGCTTCTTTGGAAGCAGTAAATCTGTGAATACTGCAAATGGCCAGTGGATCATTGGCTGGAAGCTTTAGGGAGACTCTCGGGGGTTGGAGTATTCCTACCGCTAACCTGTAGAGAGGTAACAGGGCCTGCATAGGCCTAGAGGAGATGGTTTGAGTTGCCCATCGCCAGTGGAGTTGGGGAACTGACCCATGGCAGGCACAGATGAGGCTCCCTCATGCTAAGGACGGATGGTGTCAGATGTGCTGTACTCCACATTCTAATTGAGCCAATGGCACAATCCAACTTGATCTAGCGCAGTCCAGGTCTGAGCCAATCCAAGAATGG